GACTTTGAATGAATCCATAGAATTTCCTCATAAAATTATTCCATATGCACTAAATGAGAATGAAATAATGAATAATAGATAGTTAGAAGAACTTCTATATTGAACACTCCTCTGAGTTGTCTCATGATGAAAATCGAATTGGAAATTTTAGAACAAAGTATTCGTATGTGTTTTGACCAGTTTAATAAATCGTCAAGAGTAACTCCTAGAAGTTTGACCATGAGATCCTAAGACAAACGACTGACTGACCTGACTGAACTATTCAATTGCTCATGTGAAAAGTACTGTTGAGTGTTCACTTTCTCAAGATCGTAACAAAATTGTAGCAATCCTTGACCAACCAGTATCTAACCCTCAAACAGTGACAAAATCCAAAAGTGTACCATGAAGTAGAAATTAGTATAGTATATGTGGGTGCATTTCCTCTAGTACATTACAGATCAATGTCCTTTCGAGTAGAAGGAAGATAGGCTTCTTCCGGCAAGAACAACTCGTTTTGTTCCACGCATTCTTTATTTTCCCTCATTATCAGGTATACGTTACGGATAACGCTTTTCGGGTACTGGTAGTTTAACAGCAATCAAGAAATCGGGATATTTAGTTTGATTGTTGAACATTTCTATATGAAATACGATGGAAACAATTCTCAGCCAAATGCTGACATCAGGTCTTCGAATCAGATATGGGGGTTCGAAGAAAGACACATTTATTATGACGACAATAACCAATAGTTAAGCGAATTGTCATTTTTCATTGATGCATGGCCTCATACACTCAGTATATCAAAAGTGACAATTTAGCATTCACTAAGCAGTCACTATCACGGAATATGAAAGTGATATTAATATAAAATATTCAATCGCTTTCATTGTTCACATCTTCATGGATGCATGACCTCCTTCCTCCTTGAGAACTGATTACATTACTAACATACTGATGACTGTCTCTTGTCTGATCGTTCTGAAGCAGAGGCGTATAACTATACGAAGTGATTCTATATTTTCTTGAGCGAAGTACATCGTAGGACATCGTGGCAATACAGTTTCTTCAAAATATCTGGAAGTATAATATGTTAGAAATTCTTCCAATCATCCATTCATCCATTTACATATACTTATTTATCTATCTATATATATAAACAAATATCATAAATGAATGTTTGTATGCCCTTTATAATCGTAAACGGCTTGACTGGTTTCACTAATTCTTTTTTGTAGTGTTTGTTATTGTCATGAGAAGGTTCTAAAGGGAGAAAAAAAATTGAGAAATTCAAGATGGCGGTTCCAATATGGCGGACGAGTTTTGTAATTATAATGCGATTCTATTCAAAATTGGTATCAGGGGGTTTTTCGGGTCGGAGATCAGGATTCTCGAGAGGATTCTATTGTCAAAATTAGAAAATTCATGATGGCGGATCCAGTATGGCGGACAAGTTATGTAATTATACATAAAAATATGATAGGTACCGTTATTTGTCTCCTGTTGACCTAACTCATTCATTTAATCTACCAGCAACATTCCGACCATATTACGATGGATATATCCCCAATGGCACACCACTGTTTTGAACACACCCTCCTTGAGATACTGCTAGGTGTGATACCCACGAGAATTTACGCATTATCAACGAGTTATTATCAATTTCATTATCCCCAGACTGTTTGCTATGTATCATCGTCAAAATGGATATTGACTATGGTTTCACGCCAGACGCCTGCGTGTGGTAAAATTGATTTATGAATCAATAAGCATATACTAGGAAAGAAAACTGAGAAAATTAATTAGGTTGATATATATATTTCTTTCCGAATGCCATGAATATTTATGAAGAATTATGGAGACTTCAAAGAAATGAATATGAAGCAAACAACAAAGATGCATCTTGAGAAACAATAGTAACATATTGGTAAGTTATATTTTTGAATCATAATACATAATATAATTTATCAGATTTGAGAGATTGTCAATTCTTAATTTCAAAGGATTTTTATTTGTCATGCTCTCCTTTTGGATGTTCAACAGATATAATTCAATGTTCGACGTGGCAAATAGCCAGGAAAGTAGTTGTTTTCTGTTGAATATTCCGAATTCATGTTCATTCATGAAGAATGCGAATTCTCAATTTCAGAAGATTTTGTGTTCAAATTCTTACCGTGTTTGTTCAATTGATATAATTCAATGTTCGCCGTGGCATATAGCCAGGAAAGTAGTTGTTTTCTGTTGAATAAACCTAGAAAGAATTGATATTTTGATCACATAGAGAATGCGAATTCTCAATTTATTTCTTTATATACATATTCATTTTCTCATGTTCATAATTTATCTGAGAATATTCCTTTTCAATACTTTCAGCCAATTGACCTTCAATCGCAGATTCGTGATTAGGTTTTCTCGAGGGTTTTCTCAATTCAGAATTTTTCCATGTCCTGTATGATGAATATCAATTTCATACATCCAGTAACTTTCTGTTAAACCCCATCTTCATCATCACAAATATTTATTACATGTTACATGGTACTTCCAAAGTGCTTTTTTTTTCTTGGAGGTCGATATAAATGATATAAATAGTGGAAAAAACCTGAACTAATAGTACCTCATTTGACTTTTAACAAACTTGTCATTGACAAATAGTAAACAGAAACACAATCATATCAACATAAAGCCACAAAATGTCTCGAATTTGAGAAAATAAGCAATAGGAATCGATTTTCTATCCATAGTATCTTGTGGGATCTGTAATCAAGACCTAACTGAATATTCCATCTGGACGGAGATTCAGACCATACTGTATGAATATCAAATTACCGTTGACCATTGTGGTAGGCCATAATATTCCCCCTGTTATTCACATCTGTGCTTTTATAGTAACTGCACACCTTTTATTTTTGAATGAAAACAGGTTTGTATCATCTCAATAACTGCATCATCAAACAAATCCTTATACAAATACTTTCACTCATGATAGCGAGCATGCTTAAGTGGTGTCATATTAGAGGTATATAGGGTCTGATCTGGTGGTATGGGAATAAAATTCTAGTTTTATTGTTGTTGTGGTAAATGGACAAGAGGAAATGGGCGTCACACGACCCAACACCCTGTGAACTTTATTAGAATAGCTTCAATAGGATTTCGTATTCGCACGGTACAAATAATAGACTCTCGAAATGTGGAGGTTATATCGATTCACTCGAGAATAACACCAACCATTATCTAGTGTCAGTTTTAGTATGTTTAACTCTCGGTTTAACGACCTTATCAGTAAAATCAGAAACGCAACAGATACAGTGACAAACTAATCACCAAATTATTGTTTTATACACCACTTTGGTGTTGAATAACACGAACTGATCTAATTAGCACTAGGTACTCTAGTGTAACTTCTTGACTGTATGTAAGAACGAATGACACCCTATGATGGTGTTGAAAATATCAGTGGTAATTCTCACTAAAACAATCAGGACCTCAGGGGACACCCAAGGGTGTTACCTGGTGTGAAATGGTATTATTTTTTTTACCGAAAACAATGAATCTTTACGAGTTAGTTTCAAGACTTGATACTTTTTTCTTCAAAATTGCACCTTCTTTCATATTTTCGAATAATATTTCGAAAAGTTTCATCGCCACTCATGCTTTTTCTGAAAAATCAGATACTGAGTTATGCGCCAGGCTTTCAAGAATTTTTGTTAGCTGTTTTCGAGGCGGTCTCGAAGGCAGAAATTCAATGAAAATTATTTTTTATTTCCAACTTCAACTCCCTGTATCCCGCAAACGAAGCCTTTCGTTCATGGAAAATTTTTCATTTTCTTGAGACGCCTTATCACCTTCCGAAGTGCGTCCCACATATTACGAAACACCCTCTATACAAGTTATAAAAATTGTTGAGCATGACTTAAACGTATGCATCAATCTGAGTGAAAACGTCGTTCCTCAGTCTTTTCGAAAGGATACATTCTCCAGAAATAAAAAATCGAAGGATGAATACACACGCAGGCAAGAATCAATTCTAAGAGTGATTCATTGGGCTCACCTCACACCGATCCAAGATATGGTGGAGAGAAATAGTACTGAACTGAAAATAGGCATATTTAAGCTATGATGACAATATTTCCAACTAGAAAAAGAGGATAAAGATGTGACCATCTCTGAAAATAACGATACATCAAAGCATAATCTGCATCTGAAGATCGAAGACACCGATCAACATTAGCTAATATAGTCTCAAGCGAGGTCTCAAGGCAATAAAGGGATGTCTAACGGCGCATACTAGACTCAAAGAGCATCTAAGTAAGCTAGGCTTAGAGGCGAGCTCAGAGGAGGACAGCACGTGCAGGTTCTGCAGGCAATATGCTAAAACACCCCTCTACATCTTGCAGGAGTGTTATGCTGTACATAGTGTACATAACAAGAAATCGAATATACTGGGATCTGGGATCATACCAGCTGGCTGGCAGAAATACCACGAACAGACCCCCTCAAAAATTCCTGAAAGAACTGAAGCTTGAGGGGTTGTCAAAAACGAGAAAACTTTGACATAGCAGAAGGCAGAAGTAAATGGGGCACAATAGATCGTATCAGGTCGCAGCGCATCAAATTGAAAATTACACTTTTCTCGAAAACGGTTCGTTGTTTCACGGCATTTTGAATAATATATCTTGAGACAAAGACTTGGGGTATTTTTATAGCATCAATTACAAGTTTCGCACCTCCCTGTATATCAAATCATGTTTTCCGTACCACGAACCGATTTGTAAGATTGAATCACTCTATAAGATCCCAAATTTCGAGATTTTAGGATAGATAATAACAAACCTAATTGAAGGAAGCTGCATTTTAGTTTAGGACCTATCTTCTAAGGGCTCTAGTGTCCTTAGGAAGCACTTTCGGACACATGTTGATAGGAACATTTTTTCTCATCTCTATATGTTCAGAATTACCTCCCGGAGTATACGAACGTTATACTGGGACACCCTGTATAGTTTCCATCTCTGTGTGATACTTACACTGACACAAACCGTGCCGAAGGGCATCTTCCCAAAACGTGGTGACCAAAAGTGCCAACTTCTGGTGGATGTTGCTCAAAAACAAAGGAAACTCCTCATGCTAAACGTTCCCTGATAACGCTTTCCCAGTCCACTGGCCGATTTCAACGAACCGAATCAGCGGGCCTTATCTCCGATAATGGCTTATTTTGCAGGTTAGTTTTGTTTGAAATGGTTTCCAACAAATAAATCACCAGACTGTTTACATAACACATGCCGAGGTCTGATAACGAGAATTACTCAAAAACTTCGATAAGTCAAGAGTCAAATGCACTAGATAGAACTAATTGATTTCGCAACAGAATATACAATCTGCAGTTCATAACACTAAAACAATCACAACACGTTTGATGTTTTTGCACTCTTTCGATTACTTCCAATTCCCAACACTGCAACACAGAGTCCACAGTTGTTGGTGGTTGGACCTGCAGAACTGCCACACATTGACCCACTTGACCGGAATCATTCACTGACCAAGTCGAAGTCCACTTTCGTTTTCTTTGCTGTACCGGCACACTCTTGGTGTGCACCTGTTGATTCTCTTTGACCCAGTCGCGTTCACTCTGACAACTACGACTGTATACACTATATACAGATAGTGTATACTTTATGAAAAGTTTAGACTGTGCGCGCTTCTAACAACAGACTGCACCTTCCGTTTGTAGCGGAATGAAAATGAAGCGACACCGACACACGCTGTTGCTAGTTCCCCTTCTCTGTATAGAGGCCCCGATTTGATGTGGGTTGTTCACTGGGGTTGGTTTTCGGTTGGGGACCGATAGCGCCAGTGGTCTATAGGGTAGAGTAATAATATACAGGGTGATTCACATAACAACCGACATAGGGCAGGGGCATGTAGGGGGTCCCAAAATATGGCAATATAACGCAACCTCTATACTAAGTTGCTATATAAGGAGTTAAAGGCATAGCACTAACAGCATATCAACTTGCTCGTTAAAAGAAAACTTCCCGTTCATTTTAAAAACACTCAAACAACAATTACTTAATTGAACAACTCACTTGCCTCATTGTCAAGTTTGACGTTTATGTTCATAGCCAACTTTTGAATTTTCGATGATTTTAAATAACACACCTAGAGCGCGCGTTTTCAGTTATTCGAGTTTTTGATGAAAATGATGAGGTATTTCGAGAAATTACTAAAGTAAGAAAAGTTTTAGAATTGAATTTCCCACAAAACAGAGCGAAGATTTTCGAAATCCATCAAGGGTTAACAAAATTATGTTGAATATTAATGGTGCGCCACCCGGTATATCCCCTCTACAAATTTCAATTAAACTCTAGTCATTGTCAAGTAACGCCCTAAATAATACATCCACAAAATTTACCAAACTTGGTTGCTTTAAGTTCAAGAATAACGGAGATATTGATTTTTTTCAAAATTTATAACTTCACTTTCAAAGCCTATAACTCCTTAGGGAAGCAACTTGGTATAGAGGTAAGTTGCGTTAAATTGCCATATTTTGGGACCCCCTACATGCCCCTGCTCTATGTCGGTTCTTATGTGAATCACCCTGTATAACTTTATTCAACAACAGCAACATGAATTTTCGAACATGTAAAAATGTACAAATTAAAAAGCAAAAGTTCGAAAAGAACGATAAGTACAAAATGTACTTGTTTCGTCGAACAAATAAAGATAAAATACAAAAATATACATGGATACATAAAAAGTACCAGGAAATATACATATACAAACGAACATGAATTCACGAAATATACATGGATAAACATAGATTGTAGATTGTAGATGGGTCGTATAGGCTGGGAGACCTCTTGATCACTGCGACCTAGAAGATCTATTGTGATTACCCTTATCTAGTGTTGGTCCTCTAACCCCAGACTTCTGATGAAGCCTACAATTTTTCTGACGGTTGAATTTTCCACTTCAGCAGGGGTGAGATAGACCTGCTCTAGGTGGTTCAGCCTTTGGCGGACTAATACTTCACATGAGCAAAGTATGTGTTCCGCGGTTTCGGTTGCATTGTTACAAAAGCGGCAAATGCTCGGGCAAATGTCAGTCTCCGCCAGGCCCATCTTTTTGAGGTGGTACCTCAGAGGGCCGTGTCCTGTGAGAAAGCCTGTGATAAGCTTTTGCTCTGGTTTGCTGAGGCTGAGTAGCTCTTTGGCTCGGTTCTGCGAATGGTTGATGAACCTTTTCGCTTGTCGTTGACCTGGAGTTGCTCTCCAGTAGGAGGACTTTTCAATTTCTTCCCATTTCCCGAGTTCTTCCTTTAGGTGACATTTTCTTATCCCACAAAAAGGCTCAGGACCAAAAAGTGCAGATGCAAACTTTTGATTGGTAATAATTATTCTCATTCACATGACACAGATTTAGGAGTTCCTCAAGGGTCAATCTCAGGGCCATAGATCATTTTGCTCTCCATAAATGACCGACATTACTTGGATCCTGATTGCATGGTGATACTCTTATAGCAGTCAACGCTGATAGCATTTTTATGGACGTGATAGTTAGTTACTCGCGGAAACGGTGAAATCAGCATGAAATGGTATATCTTGATTTTTCTTTCAAATCATAATTTTCTACCTACCATGGCTATCGAACGTTCCAAAATTTGTAGTTAATTTGTATTTACAATATTTTTTCGAGGCTGAAAATGAAAAAAATCAAGCCAATCCCGTTGATTCGGAATGAGGTGATTTTTAGCATATGGAGGTTCGAAAGCATGAGGAACAATAATATGAAGTTGGTTTTCTTGCAAATAATTCCTAATATGATTTCATAAGAATCGAACCCTTTTTATTTCAATAAAATAAGCACGGCACTATCCAAAAGGATGATCGTTTCAGAAAAAACTGATCATATTAATCGTTGATTCATACCGGTCCAAATTTGGTTCGAATCGCACGACTAATTACTGAGATATATCGGGGGGCGGCGTTTAAAGTGAAACATCTGTCGTATACAGTGTCATTCATAAAGTTGGCATCATATGGGAAGAACATTTAATAATAATTTATTTTGAAATTCCACTTGTGCATTAAGTTTTGCTTCAAAAAAGATGGAAATCGGCCTTGAATTTTTTCAAATTATTCGATGAAAATTGGCTCGTGTTCAAATTTCAAAAAAATTTAGTAAATCGAATTTTGAAATGAGTTATTATTAGAGTTTTCCTCATGCTGACTTTATGAATGACACTGTATATTCAGTTGCCAAAAAATATGATGTGACGTAATTTCAACAAGAGATGAAATTATGGCCTCACTACACGGTTGCTCTTCAGTGGTAGAGATGGTCGTGGATTTAATTTCATAAAAATAGGTAAATGTGGGCGCCACCCAGTATTATCTGGGAAGGAATAGGGTGAGACAAAACAAAAATATCAACAGTACTGGAGTTTTTCTAAATCCATGCTATAATGACCGAATTACCTCAAAAGTACAATAATATCATAATAATATGTAATATTCAAAATTTAAATTGGACCCAACACCTGGAGTATTTGAAGAATTAACTTTAGCTTAAGAATTACTGAAATAATCTGTTAGTATTTAATCTTATGAATAGTTGCAACAGTTTTGTTATCTTTTATGATCCAATAGTATACAAAACTGTATTAGTCAGAATTCGTTAGTACAAATATATACTAAGATAAGCAGTACTTAAATCTTAAACTTAGCCTCACTGTGGCTTCAAAAGGAAACATTAAGAACTGTATAAATGGTCCACAGGTGTGATATAAATTCTGGAAAATATAACCAAGTCCTATGAAACGGACTATCAGCGCTGATACTCCCTTTCTCACAAAGGAGAGGGTATATAAAGGCAGACAATAATAAGTAATAGTATTAAATCCAAATCAAATGGTGCAGTCCATCTTCTCATCAGGTTGGCAAAATTAGGTGAAAAATCTACTTACAGTAGGTCATCCCTATAAGTGTAACGTAGCTTTTACCAAACGAATCTCATCATCCATCACGAATATACCAAATTCGGAGGAACTGTTCTCAGTGGCATATCAGCATGGGTCCAGAAAAATAACTTTTAGAAACAGGAACAACGGATAAACATAATATTGCACCAGTAGCAATTATGGTTGAAATCACAAGGTTTTAAACCTTGTTCGCCATCATTATGGCGTCGTGTATTACAACGACACGACTATTATACCAAAATGGCGTGACCTATACCATGAAGGCCTGAAAAGAAGTCATCATGATGCATGTGTTTTTCGATGTATTTTGTTATTGTTCAATATATAATTTTCAGTGTACTTTATTGCAGAAGTGTTATTATACTTGCCTAAAGGTGTTAATCGGCCTTCATCACCAAAATTTTCATAATTTTCTGTTTAAGTTCAACAGCACGAAATTTTCGTGGCATTTCAGAAAAATGGCCCCTAGAGAGAGAGAGAGAATCGTCGTTCTTCCCGGAGGTACTCTGACGTTTCCAAAAACCCTATTTACATCAGGCTGCTCGCTCACAGGACACTTCGGAAACCGTGACAGGTGCCGAGTGTGGTGTGAGTAGTGCTTTGCCTTGAAGACCTTTCTTGCTAAGTCCCTTACTGGCAATATATATTATTAGGTTTTACGCTTCTTACGACTAGGTCACAGATGTGCCAAACGAATATAAAACGGGAAGAATAAGACGTGATAGTCTAAACAGCTGTTCGCTAATATTTACTTGCAAAATAAACATAACCCCTTGAAGAAATAATACTTATATGAAATCGAAAACACATCAGATGAAATCCTTTACAGGTAACAGGGTAGGTAGCCTGATTTAATTACAATGAGAAAACAGTTTGACGAGGGTTCAATGTAAGTACGATTCATTTTGATTATTACTGGGTGTTGAAACTGACATTAGCCCAATCACCTTAGTATCAAATTTGACGAATAGCGGGAATCGAACCCAAAGTTTTGAAAATTGGTGTACATGTTCCCTTTGGCATGACTTTCAACCAAAAAAAAGTCACCACCTGTACCTGTAGAGCTAACTCCGCCATCTTGAAAAATGTGTGCACTTTTTCAGTTATTCGGTTATATCTCAGTATCTGTTAACTTTATCGATATCAATATGCTGAGGTAAAATGAAGGAAATTGAATTTAGAAAAAAAAAGTTCTCCACATAAATACTCGTTTAGTGCATGGTTTATCAGTAAATCGTAAAACAATATGCGATATTTGAGAAACTTACTCATAATTATTCTGATATGCATATATTCCAACTACAAGTAACTGTCAGAGAGTCGGCGCCATATTCAAGGATCCTCGCAACAGCGATCGGCTATTACAGAATACCAGTGTTGCCACATATTGATGTTTTTTTTCTTTTACATCGTATGATTTGGCAGTAAAATCAAACGTTCTTGTCAATCTGCTCCAGTTACATTGCCTACGTCAGGAAACACTACGGCTCTAATTCGGTGATTGTTTTCGACGGGTACTCTGATGATGCTGATAGAACTAAAAAGGCTGAACAGCATAGACGTGCTCTTAAAAATACATGTGCAGACAAATGTTTTGTTTGATGAAAACATGCCGGTCACTGTCGCACAAGAAAAATTACTAGCTAACCCGAATAACAAGAAGCGATTGATTGCTATATTATCAGAAAAAATGAAGGGTTCATCACAAAGCAAGCAGTGGACGATGCGGATTCGCTAACAATACAGACAGCTATTG